GTTTTAAATGTATTGTTATATCCTGTGGAAATGACAGCCAAGATCCAAAATGAATCACGTGCAGTTGTTTCTTGTGAAGAATAATCTAAATGTGTGTCACCTCATGGAGTTGGGGGGAAAAGGATTAGCTAGGCACACTAAAATTCGAAAAAGCTGGCAAATTTTATGATGGTAGTGGCAAATCTTCAAAAAGACTGAAGATGCACAACACAAGTTCTCTTTTGTAGATCCACAATGTTGTTTTGAATCACTTAATTCGTCAATTACAGCAACCCGATAATGACTGGGCTGTCCATGTTGACTCACAACGTAAAGAAAAAAAACTTCTCACAAACAAAGGTTCACAAACAATGCAAAGAATCCTGAGGAGTGTTTCTTTGAGTATCTACACCAGATATCAGCTGACATTCCAACTGGGCGGCTCAAGACACAGCTGGGAATCTAAGGATTCACAATGCATGCTGACATTGCAGAGATTATCACATTGCAGTACTATGAGCGATGACAAGCACGTTAAATAACAGGTCACCCGAACATGAAAATGCTGTCATTATTTACTCACCCTCATGTTGTTACAAACCTTAATACCTTTCTTCCACCAAAAAGGAAAAAAATCTGAATAACTCTGAACCTTCAAAAAGGATAACACTAAATTTGCTAGTTTGAGAGCATAAAAAAGTATGTTTTATACAGTATACATGTGTCGTAGAGGTGGCCGATATGACCAAAATCTTATAACACGACATGAGTCACTTTATTACATAGCCTACATCACCATATAGTCATTTAGTTTACATTAACTCAAGTCAAAATGAGTAAGTTCAGACATACTGTTTTTCTCCTACATAGGGAAATAGGCATATTCAGACGCAGGGCAATTATATTTGAGGAAAATATGGACATTTAAGTAGTTATTCGTTGAAAACCAAATGAAGTGAGTTGAACAGATCAATCTGACTCAGTGAGATCAGATTTTTTTAACCAGATAAATTGATTTCCTGAAAAGATCAGACTGATTCGCTCACAAATCTGTCTATACTTTTCTCATGAACTCGCCAGGAAGTTCTCGCTTTTTGTTTCGAGTCATAAAGTCCTATGTTTTGGAGCTACATGGTCAGTAAATGACAATTTTCATTTTTGGCTGAATATGATGACAAAAATAATTAAAACCCACTGTACAAGATGTTAAATTTCACTTTAAGTAGCACCATTTCCTTGAGCTTCCCTTCCTGAATGCTGTCACATCAGCTCACAAGTTATCTATCTTCATACCACACCATCTTTATGCATCATCTCTTTACAAGTATTGTTGAACAATAAGACTCATGTGACGAGACAATGTGGTACATCTGTCACAGAATGACAGATTAAAACACAAATGAATGGTAGAGCCCTAATGAGCCCATTAATTATGCCTCATCACGTGCCTCTATTTGTGACACTGAAGAGAAGAGTAAAACAATGTGACTGTTGAGGTGGAGACCATTTTGGCTGGGGGTGTACGAGACAGCTGAGGAATTCTGGGTCTTTCTAATGAGAGACACAGCAGGAATGCAGGCACAGGACGACTGCATGTCTTCACCTAGCCTACCTTCTTACTGAAAAACCCTGACCTCACCGATGATGACAGCACTGCAGACAATGCCACACATGCCGTAAATGACACATCTCGGACTAAAAGGCTTCCACTTCCATATAAGGTCGAACAGACTTTAAGATTATGTGTACGTAAACCATAAATCTGAAAATTATTGAAGTTATGAAACATGCATCCCTGGAAAACATTAAGGAACAGTCTTGCAGACACCAACGCTTTAGGCCTCGGGTGTAATCTGCTGTTTCTTGACTCTATTTGCATACCGCCTCCACAAAGTTGTTGAGCCACTAGATAAATTCAACCATTTTCTTGAACTGGTTAACTGGAATAATTAAATAAATTTCTGCCGACACTCCTATCTGGGAGAATTTCTTTCAAATATGTCCAGATGGATACATGGACCTTTGTAAGAAAATGTTATTAAATCAGAATAAATTTGGTAAAAGGTAGGAAGACCGAATCCATGTTTCACGTGGCGCACTCAGAGATTTTTGAGTGAATTGCGCTAAAAAAACGCTGCCTTATCTTCTCTAAAAAAGCGTTCCGCACATTCAACTGACAAACCACAATCAAATGAACAAAACCTATTCAGTGACGAAGTTTTCAGTGACACAAAACTCTTGTGCGATGTCCAAACAGCTTAGTTTTGCACACAGCGCGTACACATCAGATTCGCGAAGTAATGACTCATTTGAACCGATTCACTTTAATGAATTGTTAAAACAACTGATCTGTCCAACACTGAACTCACGAGATGTCTGAATAGGTGTTTAACCAATCGCTAACACTTTGTTTACAATAAGATTCCACTTCTACAGCATTTATTATTCCTAGTTAATGTTCATTTCACAATTTACTAATAGCCTACTACATTGAAATCCAAAGTTGCATTTGTTAACATTAGTTTATGCACTGTGAGGAAACAGGACTAAACAATGAACAGCTGTATTTTTATTAACAAACATTAACAAAGATAAGTAAATCTTTGTTTATGTATTGCTTATGGTTAGTTCATGTTAGTTAGCCTAATAGATTAACTAATGTTAACAAATCAAACCTTACCGTAAAAATAATTTACTCAGAATACAAACACAATTTACACAACTACTTACCCTTAATAAACTACAGTCTTTTGAGGTCATTTATCTGACAATGTGTAGAAAAAATGTGTGAGGTGCAATTTATTATTAGCAACACACTCGGGAACCATTTGTGTCAACACAAAAATTCTAATTTCTTGATGCAATTGTCAAGTGCTTACAAAAGATGTATATAATTTGCCTGTACACGAAATGCCTGAACAACTAAAAACCAGTGCATCTTTAACAGCAAGATCAACGACAGGGTGTTTAAAAACGAATACCATTCGTTATGAACTCACTGCCTGCTGGTCACATGCTAAAATTCTCCGCTATACCTCACACGTCTACATACATAAACACACACAGCAGCAGACCCAATAGAGGAAGGAGCCTCTCCACTCAGTCATGGTTGGGTCACAAGAGCCGCATCCAAATTCTTTCCTCCCCGTGCCTGAACACCGGCCCAAAAAAAGGCAAGTGCTTTTAAACGCATTCTGTACAGACAACCTCCTGCCGTCACTTACAGACACATCAAACCCAGAAGACTCTTTGCAGGGCAATAGATATTATAGTTTTACAACCTCAAATGCCACCTTTTCCTGTTTAAAATGCAAGACGTTTTACACTGGCACCTAGAACCTTAAGTTCACATATAAAAACTCAGCTTCTTTGTATAACTTTATCAGGACTGCTTTGCAATGTTTTTACCCTGAACCTGACTGTGAACACGTTGATTGTGTCTGTATGCAAAGTTGGATAAAGGGACAGTTCACCCAAAAAATGAAAATGCTGTCATCAATAACTCTCCCTAAAGTTGTTTCAAACCAGTATAAGTTTATTTCTTCTGTTGAGCACAAAAGATGATATTTTGAAGACTTGTCAGCAACCAGACAGTTGTATGCCCAAAGTCAATGTGGTCCATCAACTGTTTGGTTACTGACATTCTTCAAAATATCTTCTTTTGCGCTCATCAGAAGAAAGAAATTCATACATGTTAAAGGAACAAACCTACAGGTTGTTCCTAACCTGTATGAGTAATGATGACAGAATTTTCATCTTTGGGTGAACTATGCCTTCAAGTAGAAATCGCACTAAATTGAGCCTATGGACAGTAACAAGAAAACAGAATCAAATATTTTTATATTATAACTTTCCTAGACACCAAAAACAACTCTATTGGTTAACTGACAGAAAGTACTTTGCTCATATCCCGTAATTCTTGGCAAAAGTCATCAGCGCCTAAAACGGTTCTAAATAGAAAAGCTAAACTAAAGTGACATCTTTCTCGGATGTTTACAGTCAAGCCAAGGAAACTAGCCTACGTCTTAAAGAGACAGTGCACTAAAAAAATCTGTCATTTTTAACTAAATTTTAGCATGTTTCGAAACTTTCTGACTTTCCTTTGAATGTGGAAGGCAAATACGAAGAATTGTAATAAATGACAGTGTAAGTCGCTGCTCATGTTCATTGTGTGCGATTAAAAGCTGCAATGAAAATGAACGGTGACTTGAGCTGTCATTCCGCCAAAAATCATCTTTTGTTTCACAGAAGTAAGAAAGTCATACGGGTCTGGAAGAACATGAGAGCGAGTCAAGTAACGTTAGCAATTTATTTCTGAGCGAATTATTCGTTTTAAACTGCCTTTTGACTGCTTTTGCGCTCCCTCGCAGTCGTATTTTATATAATTCCATCTCCCGCACAGAAATCATAATGTAGACAGACTTTCTCAACAAATGCCACAATTCCGGTCAATAATCTGTAACGCAACATACGTGTCAACACAGGGAAGCCTCTTTCCAAATACACAGCCGTGCTAACTGGTTGCTAAGCACCTTCTCAGCGTTATTTCAATGGTGACTAGCGGATCAAAACACATTCACGAGTCGGATCAGTACATATATATAAAATAACTTCCATGCACATTCATCCGATGCCTTTATAAACAGATTCAAGTGTCATTGTGCTGTAGATCATCTAACTTACTGTATGCACTGATCTATGAGCTAACATGCTAACCAGAAGCTAACACATACACACACACCCGACAATCACTCAGACAGTCCTCTTCCTGCATTCACACACTCTTTTACACACAAATACGTTTATTCCGGGATCATCTATCCAGCACAGTGCGCGCAAAAAGCAAATATCTGTTTCGATCACAGCCCAATTAGCTTCAGCGGCTACGGGGTTCCGCAAAACGGCCCGACGAAGATCGTGATGATGATGGTGGTGGTATTGGACTGAGTAAACACTGCCAGAGAGCAAGCCGTCCTCATTCACGGATCTGTGCACAACAGCCACCTATGAGACGCTCTTACCTGGTGCAAAGCGGTGAGTCCGTCCACATTAGCGTAGTTGATGTCCGCGCCGCGGTCGAGCATTCGCAGCACCTCCTCCGTATCGCCGCTCGAGCAGGCGGCCAGAAACACGGCGCCATCGTCGAACTTCACCTTCGTCTTCTTCTTCTTCAGGACGGGCGGCTCAAGGTCCGTCTCCGAGCCTATCCAGCGCTTCAACTGTTCGTTCCTTTTCTGCTTGGCGTCCGCCATCTTCATCCCCTCTAGCCTGGCGCTTCTTATCTGTCTCGAATGGAAGATATACTTTATACTGCCACTATCCCAACACAGCGCGCTGGGGCGTGGGAGGGGACGGCACGGGAGAGGGGAGGGGGGTTTAGGCTCACAAACCTGGTTACGCCGAGATATCGCGAGAGCAAGTGACGTCAGCCCAAGATCTGCAGCATAACGTCATCTTCATGGGGGCAGTAAAGAGAAAAAAGACTGTCTAGTATATGCAAATATGTTTAGAGTTGACACAGAACACGGGAAAATCAGATGTTATTGCATAATTATAAAAAACATAATAATAATAAAATAAATATACAATTAAATTATAAAAGTAAAGACAAGCAGCACCTGCTGACTATGTAATAAAATATTTATTATATATCATATATAATAAATGCAATAATAAAATAAAAGCCTGTTAGAGTAATTATAGAGTAAAAAAGGCTATTAGAGAAGGCCCATGTAGTAATATTATTAGTGAAGTTGTCTGCATTATTCGTTGTTGTTGTTTTTTTTTTTATTTAGGCCTATTTTACTCTGGTGGTTTGTATAATAATTAACTATTTTGCAGAATGTACATGTGTAAAATGTTGTTCAGTGTCTTTTATGTTACATTGTATAGCCTACATTAAGGAAAAAAAAAACATTTTTTGCAATAGAAAATAATAACACATAGCCTACACATAATGTTTACTCTTTGTGAATTAAACTGTAATCAATTACAGTTGGTTGAATCACAAAAGAACTGTCCTAGTTAATAGTATCTCACTATATGCAAGTGAAATGTACCCAAATATGACTGTTCATCAACTCCCACATTTTAAAATTGAAACACACCTCCATAGATAATAAGTGTGCGTCACTTCTAGTTTAAGCTTTGCTTTTATTTATTATTTTATAGACTCATATTAGAAATTAGAGGGGGAAAATGTTACTCGGCAATGACAAATAAAGTATACAAATACCAATGTGAACATGTGCCCATCAAGTCTTAATATACTGCTTGTTAATAATGTGTAGCCTACATGTGTAGACAGAAAACAATATACGCAGACTCAGTGTTTATTCAGAGGAACTAATTACGTAATAATGTTTGGCCTTCCAAAAATAAAAACATACTGTGATGGTAAAGTGATAGCATTAGATAACAAAACCACTACACTTCTATAAGGTACTGAATAACACACACATACACACACACACACACACATATTATATATATATATACATTTTTTTATATAATACACACACATATTATGTGAACATACATTTTTAAATATAGATTTGACAGCACTAAATTCAAGCAATAGTTTAACATAAGCTTATATAACACCAGGGAAAATAATAATAATAATATATATTTTAGATATTTTATTATCCAATTTGTTCAATTTGCTTCCATCAGGTCTCTTCTATTGAATTTAATGGTTTTATTGTCAGTGTTTATTTGATTATCCTTCATTTAAATCTGTTTCTAGCAGAAACTATTGCTAGTACGCTCAAGAAATAATCAGTTGATCAATTATCTGGTTATTTTCATTTATTTTCGAGCACAGGTTGTTTGAGGACAGTAAAAAGATGTCAGATATTCATACTGGTGAACTGTGAAAGTACAAATTGCATAAGCAATATCAAAACTACTATTTCATTTTACTTGTATATTTAATGTGCCACAAATCATCATCCTTTTTTGGATTATATTTTTATATATCATGGGGATATAAAATGTTCTAAATCAAACATTAAACATCAACTGACTACTTTAAAAGCCCATTTCACCCCTGGAAGGCTTAGAAGTTTGGGTAATTGAGATGACAGGAACCTTTTGACCCGCTCAACCGGGCCGGTAAAAAGTGTTATTTTTCCTTTGGCACTGTGGTGCGTTATTGTTGGCACAGGCCCATGTATGTGTGGTTTGAGCAGGTATCTGGCAGAGCTAGTTCAGAAGTTTGCCATCTCTCTTACTAACTATAATCATCATGATGAGCTTTATGACTTGAAGTGCAATAAGTGTCAATATAATTACCCAACTAATTTCATTTGGACACGATCCAGGTGTGTACGTCATCACGCATTCGTGTAATGAAGAGACATGCACAAAACGTGTGTTTTGGTTCACCAGTACACGCTGAAATTGACACTTCTATACTTTTCACTAACAGCAGGACAGAAATTAGGATTTGAGAACAATTTCTTAGTAAAATAGTACTGTAAAGCATACCCATACAGCAATTTAAATGTATTTAAAGTACTGTTTAAGCTAAATATATGTTGTAAACAGCAAGGTTGGTAAAACTATGCAAGAGATGTTCCTTTGCTGCTTAACCAAACTTAGATCCAGCCCATATTTCATCTTTTGTGGACTTTTCAAGACAGGAGTCTTACTTTAATAGATTTCAGAACAATCAGTGCATGAATCACCTGCTGGCAAGTGTGTGTGCATGTGCATGTGTGTGTGTTGATCTTTTTAGTTGATTAGAAAACCGTCTCCTGGCCAGAAACTCGTTCCAAGACAAATTCTCACAGTGCACTGGATACGTCAGTTCCACTAGGTTTACTGGTGCACCAAAATCAGCTGCCTATTTGAGAACCTGTAAATGTCAGCCATCTGAATGTAATACAAATTATCCTTTATGCAATAGTCTTTTGAACAAATGTATTTATAAAAAGGCTCGCGTTTTTTAGTCATTCGATTATTTCAACTTATCGGTGAACCCAAAGCAAAGTTATTATACAAAATATATGTATAATGTTTCCGGTAAACTGTGTATCAAAAGGCAAATCCGGCTGATTTTAACCACACAGGGGAACTGGCCTCTGTAGTTGAGCAGATGGAGAACTCAACTGTGATGTACCAATCTGCCAGTGTTCTCCATCTTTACCATCCTGATCCATGAGTCAAGATTAATGGACTATTCCAGTATTCATCAGCATGTGTGGTATAATGTTCATTACCGCAAAAAGTAATTTCAACTCATCTATCTTTTTCTTTTAAAGTCACCATGAAATTAAAATGAACAAATCTATTGTAGTTTTTAATATAAAAGATTTATCTGTGTACATCATTGTTTTGTTTTGTTTTTTCATGTGCGTTTACTGGTGCGAGGGCGGGATAACCAGTCACTGACTTGAGATCGACCAACAGCAAACTACAATCGTTCAATCAATTGGCCATTGACAAAATCAAGCCCCACCCTTACATTCTTTCTTGTCCCAGAAGCTGTTTTACTCAGATATACATCACATAGGGAAGAAAAGATTATCAAAACTTCAGTTTCATAAAATAAAATAAAAAGAGAGATAGGAATCGAGGTTATGTTGCGGCTCTTTAGTAATCAACATTATGCCACAAATTCTGTCGGATCAACTCTAACCTTGGAATATTTCTTTAAGACACACAAGGTAAGCCTCCTTAATCACATAAGCTCAACTTTGTTTAACATTGGTCATATTGCCTAATATTGACTGTCATGTGACCCAACTGCATATTCCATCCCTCGACCAACGCATTGTTTGGGTGTATCACCATACAAATTTGTGGACAGTATTTACTCAACTGGCCTATTAATCAGCAGTATCTGGGAGTTGGTCTGATGTGTAACTAGTAGAACAGTACAAACACTGCCTGTACGCTGGATTTGTGTGTTTACACATCTGTTGACTCACAAAATGAGTCAAAAAGACAACAGCAAATTAAGCCATTTCAGATAAACACTCGAATGAAAAGATCTCCCCGGGTTCTCAATCTTTTTGATCAATGAATTTCCGTGATTTTTAAATGACTTGAAAGCAATTTTCCTTGCCCAAACATGTAACATTTCATTCTGAAAATTGCACCGGTTTGTTTTTTTCCAAAAGTGTGATTTGATTATTTGATAGGAGCAAAGGATCATTAAACTTTAACTTATAATATATAAGTTTAAATATTATAGTGTAATAAATTCCAGAATTTCTAGGCGCAGCCAGGGGCCGGAGGGTGTCAGGTTTGGTGACCACACGATTTCACCTCTGCTTTTTTGCGGATGATGTTGTCGTGTTGGCGCCTTCACACCAGGACCTTCAGCATGCACTGGGACGATTTGCAGCCGAGTGTGAAGCGGCTGGGATGAAAATCAGCACCTCCAAATCCGAGGCCATGGTCCTTAGTCGGAAAAGGGTGGCTTGCTCACTTCAGGTTGGTGGAGAGATCCTGCCTCAAGTGGAGGAGTTCAAGTATCTTGGGGTTTTGTTCACAAGTGAGGGAAGGTTGGAATGGGAGATTGACAGATGGATCGGTGAAGCTTCTGCAGTAATGCGGTCAATCTACGTTCCTACTCTCACCTATGGTCATGAGCTTTGGGTCATGACCGAAAGGACAAGATCCCGGATACAGGCGGCTGAAATGAGCTTTCTCCGCAGGGTGGCTGGGCGATCCCTTAGAGATAGAGTGAGAAGCTCAGGAGCTCAGAGTAGAGCCGCTGCTGCTCGGGCAATTTTTATCAATTTATTGGATGAACTTTTGAACAGCACTGTGCGTATAATCCATATATTGCATTACATCTTGATATTGAATACAGGCTTTGCTAAATACATTTAAATCTCTCATATTCTAACTCTGTATTCCCATTGTTGTGTCGAGCTTTCTAGTAACACAGCTTTAAAAACCTGACCGCATAGGAAAGACAGTCTCATCGCTCTTTGTTTAGCACGCAGCTGTGTTCTCCACTCACCTCTGTCACTCTCTGTAACTGTTTCTGTCAAGGATAAACATGGTTTGATGGTGTATTTAGAGTGTAATCGAGTTTTCAAAAACGTTCCTCTACTGATTGACTGCAATACCTAATAAAATAAACTTTAATGTGGCAGAGGTTTGCTGGTGTTTTGGGATCCACATGGCCATGTACCAAGGCTTTTTACGAGTGGTGCAGGCTAAAGCAAATATCAGTATTATTATTGTTTATACTCCTAGTAACCCTATTACACTTCATTTATAAGCCAATAACTCACCACACACCATTTGAGGAACAGGCTCAAATGATGCCGCAAATCATAAAATTTGTGTGCTGTTACTTAAGAATTATGATTTATCTGGCAAATGATTAAA